CTGCTCGTTGTCTCCGCTCACAGGCTCAGAGTTTGTTGGTTGCTCCCCGAACACGACTGAAGATGAAAGGGGGCGGAGCCTTTCAGTCTGTGGCACCAACGCTGTGGAACAGTCTACCTCCACAACTACGTTTGGTTGACTCTGTGGAATCCTTTGAAAAGCAGTTAAAAACTTTACTGTTTAAACAAGCTTTCTGTTGACCAATGCTTTTTACATTTTTAATTTACATTTAACCTCTATATTGTGTATATAATTTGCTATTTATCGGACTGTTTAATTTAATCTTTGTGTACAGCGCTTTGTGACTATGAAAAGCACTTAATAAATTAACTTTACTTCCTGTGAAAATGAGTCCTCCACCATAGTCATCCACTAATTGTCCTTTGCTCTTCTCCCTGTACTCCAGGGTGGGCAACTCCAGGCCTCGAGGGCCGGTGTCCTGCAGGTTTTACATCTCACCCTGGGTCAACACACCTGAATCGTGTATTACCAGGCCTCTGGAGAACTACAAAATACATTGAGGAAGGAATTTAGCCATTTGAATCAGCTGTGTTGGATCAAGGACAAATCTCCAATCTGCAGGACACCAGCCCTCGAGGCCTGGAGTTGCCCACCCCTGCTGTACACCAACTGCTGCACCTCCAACCACCAGTCTGTCAAGCTAGTGAAGTTTGCAGATGACATCACCGTTATTGGACTCATCTCGGACGGGGATGAGTCTGCCTACAAGATGGAGGTTGAACGTCTGGTGTCCTGGTGCAGCCGCAAAAACCTGGTGCTAAACAATGACAGTGGAAATTATTGTGGACTTCAGGAAGCACACAGCCCCCACATCATCCTGTCTGACACCCTCATCACCTCTGTGGACTCATTCCACTTCCTGGATACCACCATCACCCAGGACCTGAAGTGGGAGCCCACCATCACCTCCGTCATTAAGAAAGCCCAGCAGAGGATGTACTTCCTGAGGCAGCTGAAGAAATTCAACCTGCCAACACGGACGATGATGCAATTCTACACTGCAATCATCGAGTCCATCCTCACCTCCTCCATCACCGTGTGGTACGCTGGAGTCGCCACCTCTTACAAACAGAGACTGCAGTGTTTAGTGCGCTCTGCTGAGAAGGTGATTGGCTGCAGACTCCCATCTCTGCAGGACCTGTACACCTCCAGATCACAGCTGACCCTTCTCACCCTGGACACAGTCTGTTTGACCTGCTCCCCTCAGGCAGGAGGCTCCGGTCCATTCGCACCAGAAGCTCTCGCCATAAGAACAGTTTCTTCCCCTCTGCTGTTGGACTCATGAGCAATAAACATAAGACTGTTCCCACCACAAACGCATGACCTATACTGTGTTCACTGCATCGGTCCCATGCACTGATCATCACCTGCATTCATGTATATTTCAATCTGCTTATCACTTTTTTAAATGTTTATTTTTATTTATTTATTTTACAGGCTGCGTCACGCCTGTTCAAGAGTTGCCCACAACAGATGGCAGGAATAAAATCTCCGCAAAACTTTTCTGGCACAACTTCACCTGTTTCCAAGGTGCATGGAGAGGATGAAAGAATTCAAAAAGCAGGAACTCCAGCAACACTTGAGGGAAGATGAACAACTTTAATAATTGACCAACGCGTTTCGGCTTGTGGCCTTCATCAGGGTCATAGTAAAACATTGTAAAAATTGCTTAAATACAAGACAGGAAACAGAAAAAAGATTTCAAATTAACCAGTCAAAACTTCATAGATAGGTCAGCTGACATATAATAGGTAGGTATTGGTTAATTGGCTCATGCCCAAGTAAATATCGGACTAGATCATTACTGATGAGAAGGAGGGGGGGGGGGGGGGTGACATAACCCCCATATGCCTGAAAATAACACATGCATGAAATGCATAAGGAGGATGCTATAAATATACACACGGGTTTAAAAAAAAAGGGGGGGGCGGTCTTTAATGGTAAAAGCACGTTTGAAGTAGAAAACAAGATTACAGGAAGCAATAAAATCTCCAACTACAAACTAAATGAAAAAATGTTTGGCTGTCCAGACAAAACCTTCTTGGGGTCCAGATTTGGACCAGAGTCAGGGGATTGGGGATCCCTGTTGTAGGGTCTACCTTACCATGTAAAGCACTTGAAGGAGACTGTTGTTATGATTGAAATAAAACCCAACTGAAAAACTAAACACACTAACACTTTGTCACAAATTCAGCAGAGAGAAGTCCCTCGCTGTGCACACAGAGCCGAGAAAAGAGACGCTCATGTCTGTTCATTTCTGCTCTGTTTGATGAAAACTGTGTTACTGAGGAACAATGAGAGGACTCGCCTCTGAACTCTCAGCGTGAGGAGTTGACACTGCAATAACATTCACACATCAACATACAGAAGATTGTTTCAGTGTTAGGTTTAGTGAAATTTGAGGTTAATGGTGTGCCTCAGACTTTGTAATTCCCGTGTGTGTGACTTATTGAAACATTCTCCTACATGCAAAACAAGGTTTACCTTTTAAGAGTAAATAAATCTGAAAGCTTTTCCATCCTAAAAGAGGACAACAATGTGTAGTTTATGATGTTCTAAAGGTTTCAGCAGCTTTTTGAATTTGTCACACGTGTGGAAATGTATGAGTGAGTCTTTGTATCTTACTGTGAGTGATGCTCGTCAGCACACAAACCCAGAGTTTCTCTACAGGAACACAGAGAGAGTTATTCCCTGTACTGTAAGGACACATTCAGCATTGTGCAGTAACTCCAGATCAGCCCAGTTAAATGATTACATGGATGTGAGTGTGATCGTCAGAGCAGCCCTGATCAGTGTCAGGTTATAATGACCAAGGTGTACACAAACACTAAGTTTGATATTAAAATGTGTGAAGTGTAAATTCAGCCAAAGCCTTTAACCGGGCTGTGAAAAAATACAATGCCTGTGTCTCAATCTCGCATCTCATATGAAGTGAAGAAATATTTTTAAAAATAATATGAAGGCAATAAGAGAGTGTTACAAGCATAGCTCTAAAGAATGCAGCCTCATGGGCAGTGCAGTCCGTGCTGCAGGGAGAATGGACTGCCATACCCGTGATGTGTCTGTGAGCGAGGAGGGAGAAAAAGGGGAAAAGTACAAGTTGTCATAGAGCAGAAACGCGAGCTGGAAGCATGTAAATACAATAATAATCACTGCAGCCAAAAGCCCAGTTGTAAGTACGCTATTAAGACTCGACTGTACGCTGTGTTCGTGTTTTCCTCCCAAACAATAAGCTCCGTTGGAGCCTTTCAACGCCTCTCTCTGTCTCTGGCTAGCAAACTTGACCCAGACAACAAAGTTCTGTAATCTGTAGTGGAATACATTTTAAAAGTAACCTTCCCAACACTGTTAATAGACCTCTCTGCATTGAATCATACTTGTTATTAATCTCTGTCTGTCTTTTCTCCTGTCTTCCTTCTCTCACCCCAACCAGTTGTGACAGATGGCCGCCCCTTCCTGGTTATTTGAGAGTTCTGCTTTCCTGTTAAAAGGGAGATTTTCCTGCCGTTTTCATCAGATTCCACTACACTGCATTTTCGCAGGAAATGCAACTTTTTATATTTTTTATTTAACATTTAATTAACAATATATATATTTGGATTCAAACTAGAACAAGACTTGGTATTATTTAAATGGTATGCTTATGTCTCTGACATTACCCCCCAAAAATTGGACTCATGTCGCAAAAGTTGGTCTGCTAAAGGATTGTCTACATTTGATAGCTTGATTAAAGATGGAAATTTAATTAGTGTTGATACATTGAAACAAAAATACAATCTGGAAAGACAGGATTTATGCCGATACTTGTTAATAAGACACTATATAAAGAGGACAATTAGAGTGGTGTCGGACACTAATGTAGATTTGATAGCAATGCTCAAAAAGGCATATAGTGGTGACGTCAACAAAAAACACATTTCCTGTTTGTATACATTTTTTACAAATAAGATGGGAGAAGGAGGGAGGAGTGTGCATAACATAAACAACAATTGAAATGCACTAGCTCACAAAGATGGAGGGAATTTGGATGGAAATTTTGATTAGGTTCTTTATCACCTCTTACCAAAAGATTTATTATGATAGGAATCCCCCGTATGCTGGAGAAAATATGGACACAGACCTCTGACATTTTCAGGCAGAATTTTAAACCTTGGGTGAAATGTGGTCAATGCAGTTCTTAAGCATGCATGCAAATGTTCATTAGTCAGCTGTGAGCGAGTCTTTTCCATTCATCTTTAAATGCCAGATTTTCACTTCAGGAAGCACACAGCCCCACTCCACTGACGACTTGCTGTTGGCCAACACCCTCAATGACTTTTACTGCCGGTTTGATGAGACATCGAGCAGCTTTCACACCTCAATAGAGACACTTTGGTCACTCATCCTCCCACCTTCCCCACTCCCCCCACAACAGAGCCATCGACGCTATCAAAGACTTCACCCACAGGAGCCCCCTTCTCACTTCACACCTATGAGGACTTCACACCACCTTCTCCCACTACAACCCTTCATATTCATGAAGCAGATGTGAGGACGCAGTTTATCCCTTTAGACCTACTAAATAACCAATTTAATTCAATTCAGTTGTAAGGTCTTTATATCAAGCTCTGCTGTGTTCAAGCTATTAATTACTGTACGCAGGAGAGCCAAAACACACATCAAACATTAAAGTTCAGTTATGCCAGCTTTAACCTTGGGATGCCTCAGCTTCTCCTTTATATCCCCCACACTCAACTCTCTGCATCAGGAAGCTCCTGGCACTGGTCACCCTGGGAGTTTCGTCCTTCTACACCCCAACAGTGAGCAGATAACATAGTGAAGCATCGCCAAGCAGTTTTCACAAGGTCGTGCTGACACAAAATTTGACTGACTTTAAACACTGGTCACTTCAGGTGTTGCTCTGATATACAGGAAATGACATCACGGCTCAAACTCTTTGTCAGTAAACCATTTCTTTATTTAACATGTAAAGTTTTGGTTTAACTGTTGCAGGATTTCATTACACAAACAAGCTGAAAAAAAAACTGCAGAACACCTGGATCAATGCATTCAATAAAAATTTAACAGGAAACAGATTTCTTAATCAAACTGCTGGAACAAAGCTAACCACTCAACACAAACACTACAGTAGAACAGTTTAGAAAGCTTAAAATGTAACGAGAGGCACATTTTCATTCATAGGTGCCTCATCAGATCTTTACAGAAGACTCCACCTGAACTCTGTGGAGCCTGAAACAAAAAACAAAACATCATCTGTGTCAACATCCAGGACTAAGAAAAGACAAGACATAAAATAACATCCATTTACTGTTTGCTTTATAATACTCAGCTTAATGTGTTGCAAAAACTATAACAGAAACAATACTGCAATAACATTAATGTAATTCTCAACTGCTACCACTAAAATACTGTAATTCAAATCTGAATAATCACTCAGAGCTGCTTTTCCATGCAGCAGAAATGCTAACATGTTGCTAACCGTTGTTTCAGACAGTCAGACTAAAATCACAAGATAAAAATAAAAATACCTCACAGCAACTGCACTTGTAGAGTCTTTCTAGTGTGGATCTGTTGGTGTCGTCTCAGGTAACGTGGAGATTTAAAAAGTCTTCTCACACAGGTCACATTTATAAGGTCTCTCCTCAGAGTGGGTAAACATGTGACATCGTAACTCTGTGTTTGTAGCAAACTGTTTGCCACACTGCTCACAGCAGTACACATCATGTCTGGTGTGAATGCGTAGGTGTGTATTTCGCCTCCCTATCCGGCTGAAGGTTTTTCCACAAATGTCACAGCTGTACGCCTTAATTTCAGAGTGGGTAACTAGATGACTCTGTAAGTTGCTACTGTGAGTAAAAGCTCTGCCACACTGATCACAGGTGTACGGTTTAACTCCATTGTGGATGAGTTGATGTGATTTTAAGTTTCGAGAGTGGGTAAAAGACTTTCCACAGTCTCCACAGCTGAACTGTCTCTCTCCAGTGTGGATGAGTTGGTGTGCTTTTATGTTTCCAGAGTGGGTAAAAGACTTTCCACACTCGTCACAGCTGAATGGTCTCTCTCCAGTGTGGATGAGTTGGTGTGTTTTTAACCTTCCAGAGTGGGTAAAAGACTTTCCACACTCGTCACAGCTGAACTGTCTCTCTCCAGTGTGGATGAGTTGGTGTGCTTTTAAGTTTCCAGGGTGGGTAAAAGACTTTCCACAGTCTCCACAGCTGAACGGTCTCTCTCCAGTGTGGATGAGTTGGTGTGCTTTCAAGTTTCCAGATTGGGTAAAAGACTTTCCACACTCGTCACAGCTGAACGGTCTCTCTCCAGTGTGGATCAGTTGGTGCGTTTTTAAGTTTCGAGAGTGGGTAAAAGACTTTCCACACTGCTCACAGCTGAACAGTCTCTCTCCAGTGTGGATCAGTTGGTGTGTTTTTAAGTTTCCAGAGTGGGTAAAAGACTTTCCACACTCGTCACAGCTGAACGGTCTCTCTCCAGTGTGGATCAGTTGGTGTGTTTTTAAGCTTCCAGAGTGGGTAAAAGACTTTCCACACTCGTCACAGCTGAACGGTCTCTCTCCAGTGTGGATCAGTTTGTGTGTTTTTAAGTTTCCAGAGTGGGTAAAAGACTTTCCACACTCGTCACAGCTGAACGGTCTCTCTCCAGTGTGGATCAGTTTGTGTGTTTTTAAGTTTCCAGAGTGGGTAAAAGACTTTCCACACTCGTCACAGCTGAACGGTCTCTCTCCCTTGTGGATGACCTGATGCATTTTTAGGGAAGCTTTCACAGTAAAATCTTTCCCAAACTCGTCACAGTTGTATTTTTTTCTTCCACTTCTTTCTTCAACGAATTTGTCGGGCTCCTGAGAGCGCTGACTTCTCGATCCACGTTGGTCCTGCAGTGACAGAGATACAAACAGAGGCAGTGAGTTGTGGGAAATTCATTATTCTAACCGGCCTTTTATTAGTGGTATTTTGTGACCTTTTATTGAATAAGTAGTTTTACTTCTTTTCATACACACATTGCAAATGTGCTTATGAGAGTTGGCATTCAGTCTTTTGAGGGTCAATGCAAACACACTTACAGACACAGATAAATATTAGAGTTGTTTCTAGGGCAAAGGTGAGAGACATTTGGCCTGCAAAGTATCTGTACGCCTGCCCAGTGAGATTAGCACATGATGTAAAAGAGTTTACCCACGCTTATTAGCACAGAGGAGCATAGCTGATGCTATAGCAGTGGAAAGGAAAATAGTTGGGCATTTTAAACATTCCGCCTTAGCCTACTCCCGCCTCGAGGACATTCAGGGACAGGTCAACCAGCCAAAAAAAAGAGACTGCAGCAGGACGTACAGACGCGCTGGAACAGCACGTATTACATGCTCCAGTCCCTCATTGAGCAAGAGCGAGTTCTGGGCGTGTATGTGTCTGAGCACGAACTCCCTGACTATCTCACCGCTCACCAATGGGCTCTTACGGAGACGACTGTTGCCATCCTCGCCCCCTTTGAGGAACTAACTAAAAAAGTGAGCAGCTACGACGCACTAGCCTCTGATGATGGCGGCGCGTGAACAACGCGAGGCTCAGTGTCTCTCCAGAATCTGCTATTTAGCGGTTTTTTTATCTACTTTTAACCGGATTATTCGTCCAGAATTGCTGTGCGTTGCTGACCTACAGCAGACAAGAGCTTCTGGACATCTGGACTCACAACTCCAACAGTTTTATCGCCGATCTCCGACTCATCCCAGAAAACTCCAGAACACCGGAGGCTGCCCACTCTCCCCGGCCGGGCGGAAGTGCACGCAGACGGCGCCGAGATCGTAAACAAAGGTGAGGTAGGCGCGGAGGGCTACGGGCTAAGCTAAAGCTAACACCACACCGGCTGCCTTTACCCAGTATTTTCCTCGCCAATGTCCGTTCTCTGGCAAACAAAATGGATGAGATACGGCTCTCCATCACTAACAACAGACGGATTATGGACTCAAATGTCATGTTTTTCACCGAAACATGGTTGAACAACAGCTGCCCGGACAATGCTATCGAGTTAGCAGGACGCCACACACACCGAGCCGACAGGCTAGCAGATGACTCCGGCAAGACCAGAGGTGGAGGTTTGTGCATTTATATTAACAATGCTTGGTGCATGAACTCCACTACTACTGAGAGTCACTGCTCACCTAATGCGGAGTTTTTAATGGTCAAATGCAGACCTTATTATCTCCCCAGAGAACTCACTTCAATCATACTCACTGCCGTGTATATCCCCCCCGACGCTAATGCTAGGCTAGCCATGAAAGAACTTTCTGCAGCCATTAACAAACACCAGAATAAACACCCCGAGGCTGCTTTTATTGTTGCTGGAGACTTCAACCACACCAACTTAAAGACAGTCCTCCCCAGATTCCACCAACATGTCTCCTGCCACACCAGAGGAGACAAGACTTTAGACCATGTGTATTCCAACCTGGCTGGAGCCTACAAAGCCACACCCCTCCCCCACATTGGACAATCGGACCATCTCTCCCTGTTCCTCACACCTAGGTATTCACCACTCATCCAACATGTGAAACCTGCTGTGAGGACAATTAAAGTGTGGCCAGAGGGGACAGAGGCAGTGCTCCAGGACAGATTTAAAAACACAGACTGGAATATGTTCACCCACACAGACCTGGACCAGTACGCCTCATCTGTACTGGATTACATCTCCGAAACCACAGACAGTGTCACCACCCAGAAACGGATCACCATGTACCCCAACCAGAAGCCTTGGATGAACCGGGATGTTCGTCTCCTCCTGAAGGCCCGCAACACCGCCTTTAGGTCAGGAGATGCACACGCCTACAGCACAGCCAGGGCTAATCTAAAGAAGGGCATCAAAAAAGCCAAACACCATTACAAAAAGAAGGTAGAGGAACACTTCTCCAACTCCAACCCCCGACGCATGTGGCAAGGACTCCAGACCATTACAGACTACAGGACCACCAAACCCTCCCCCGCATCCTCTGATGTCTCCTTCCTCAACGAGCTCAACAACTTTTATGCTCGTTTTGAGCGAGGGAACCCCACAACCACAACCAAAGCAGACATGACGCCAGACCACCAACCTCTGACTCTCTCCCCCACCGATGTAGGAGCGGTGCTGAGCAGAATCAATGTCCACAAGGCTGCAGGTCCAGATGGCATCCCCGGGCGTGTTCTCAGAGCGTGTTCTGGGGAGCTTGCAGGAGTGCTCACAGACATATTCAATCTGTCCTTGGCCCACACTGTGGTACCGGCCTGCTTCAAATCCACCTCCATCGTCCCGATACCCAAAAACTCCAACCCATCTTGCCTCAATGACTACCGCCCAGTAGCACTCACCCCCATCATCACTAAGTGCTTAGAGCAGCTGGTCCTAGCACACTTCAAATCCTGTCTCCCCCCCACCCTGGACCCACACCAATTCGCATACCGCCAGAACAGGAGCACAGAGGATGCAGTCTCCATCGCACTGCACTCTGTCCTCTCACACCTGGACAACAACAACACCTACGCCAGAATGCTGTTTATAGACTTCAGTTCAGCATTCAATACAATCCACCCCTCACAACTCATTAGGAAACTGACAGACCTGGGCATCAGCTCCCTCATCTGCAAATGGTTACTGGACTTCCTGACCAACTGCCCCCAACATGTCCGGCTGGATAACCACTGCTCATCTACCATCACAATGAACACCGGTGTACCACAAGGCTGTGTGATGAGCCCTTTCCTCTACTCCCTCTTCACCCACGACTGCAGACCTGCTGATGGTTCCAACACCATCATTAAGTTTGCAGATGACACCATGGTGATTGGCCTCATCAGTGACAACGATGAGGCCGCCTACAGGGAGGAGGTGGATCGTCTGGCTGAGTGGTGCGACACAAACAACCTGCTGCTTAACACCGAGAAGACCAAGGAGCTCATCGTGGACTACAGGAGGAATGCTGACCTACATCCACCCATCCACATTAAGGGGACGGCTGTGGAGCGTGTGAGCAGCTTCAAGTTCCTGGGAGTCCACATCTCCGAGGATCTCACCTGGACGACCAACTGCTCCAAGCTGGTCAAGAAGGCTCACCAGCGCCTCTTCTTCTTGAGGACTCTGAGGAAGAACCACCTGTCCTCAGACATCCTGGTGAACTTCTATCGCTGCACCATCGAGAGCATCCTGACCAACTGTATAACAGTCTGGTACGGGAACTGCTCTGCCTCGGACCGGAAGGCGTTGCAGAGGGTAGTGAAAACTGCCCAGCGCATCGCCGGAGCACCACTTCCTGCCATAAAAGACATCTACAGGAAGCGGTGTCTGAAAAGGGCTGGGAAAATCATCAAAGACCCCAGTCACCCATCACATGGACTCTTCACCCTCCTGCCCTCTGGGAGGCGCCACAGGAGCCTCCGGACTAAGACCACCAGGTACCGGAACAGCTTCTTCCCCACAGCTGTCAGACTCCTGAACTCTGCCTCCTGACATCTGACCCACGTTAACACATGGACTGAACATACACACCCCCACAATGGACAACTGTACCCTCAAACACACAATAATAACATGGAGTGAACCACCACTCACAACCACTAGCACTTTATATAGCCTCTGTAGAAACTATCCACACCCTCACTTATCTTAACTGCACTACTGTATAGCTCTGTGTAAATAATCATTCTGTACATTCGATAATCTTTAATCCTACAACTGTTTACAACTTGCATAGTTCCCATTTCTGTATAGCTGTATATCTCAAATTTCTGTAAAGTTATTTATTTCATATTCTGTATAGTTTTTCATATTTATATCCTGTTCATAGCCTGTACATAGCTTGTACTCACTACAGCCTGTACATACTTAGTTATAGAATATTCACAACATACTTCATACCGTGTACATTATAACATACCATAATAGACCCATTTCTGTAATATGCTTACATATCTATACTATTGCTAATATATATTGTAATATATCTATATCACTAAAGCACTTCTGGATGGATGCAAACTGCATTTCGTTGCCCTGTACCTGTGCATGTGCAATGACAATAAAGTTGAATTCTAATTCTATTATATTCTATGTCATCCCAGCTGTGACTGTGCTTGTGAGACTTCTAAACAGAGAAACAGACGAGTAAATACCACTCAGCCCCATGTAGCAGTGTGGAAAGTGAAAGTCTTTTTAGCTCAGTGTCACACATTATAGATGAAAACAGAAACAGTCTGACTGCTGATAATGCAGAAAAGCTACTTTTCTTATAAAAAAAAAACCAAAAAAAAAACCCTGCCACTCACTTTTTCTCTCCTTTAAGTGAGTCATCTTAGACTTGATGTTAATACCTACCTCAGTTGCACTGACTGCCACAGTTCTATTTTGGTGGATGTTGTTAGTTTATTCAAATATTGTGCACTAAATAGCAAAGATGTTAATTAATGCCCCTTGTGTTGTCCAAAGCGGCAGAGTTTACAATAAACTGAAAACAATACTTGAGTTGCACTGTCACTGTTTACATTTTTTTCAGCACGCCCCTGCGGGCGGTTTATCGCTCCGGTCTACCACCACTATGTCCCTCTGTATCTGGAAGTCCCACAGGATCTTAGCTCGGTCATTCTCCACCATCCTTGGAGGCATCTCCCATTTTGACCTCGGGACTTCCAGGTTATACTCGGCACAGATGTTCCTGTACACTATGCCGGCCACTTGGTTATGGCGTTCCATGTATGCCTTGCCTGCTAGCATCTTGCACCCTTGCAATATATATATATATATATAGATGCATCGGTGGGCAAGGGACGAAAACAGGGCGTTGTTGGAATGCTACTACGCAAGTAACCCCGGCGGAAGGGGCTACATGAATAGGATGAGGGACCTATGGATTCTTCGATACCCAACATCCACAATGACGGCGAATAGGCCTGAACCCCCTCAGTGAGATCATTAACAAGACTGGCTACGGATACCGACTACGGAACGGAGCAGTTGTCAGCCACCTCCTGTACATGGATGACATCAAGCTGTATGCCAAGAGTGAACGAGACATCGATTCACTGATCCACACTACCAGGCTATACAGCAATGACATTGGAATGTCGTTCGGACTGGAGAAGTGTAGTCGGATGGTAACAAAGAGAGGGAAGGTAGTCAGAACTGAGGGGATTGAACTACCAGAAGGCAACATTGCAGACATAGAGGACAGTTACAAGTACCTGGGGATCCCGCAGGCAAATGGGAACCATGAAGAGGCCGCTAGAAAGGCTGCAACCACCAAGTACCTGCAGAGGGTCAGGCAAGTCCTGAGGAGTCAGCTGAATGGTAAGAACAAGATCCGGGCCATCAACACATACGCCCTGCCCGTGATCAGGTACCCTGCTGGGGTAATAGGCTGGCCAAAGGAGGAGATAGAAGCCACTGACATAAAGACAAGAAAGCTCCTGACCATGCATGGAGGGTTTCACCCCAAGTCCAGCACCCTGAGGCTGTACGCTAAGCGGAAGGAAGGGGGCCGGGGACTGGTGAGTGTCAGCACCACAGTCCAGGATGAGACAAGGAACATCCAAGAATACATTGGGAAGATGGCCCCAACTGACCGAGTGCTCAGTGAATACCTCAGGCAGCAGAAACCCAAGAAAGAGGAGGGAGACGAGGAACCATCATGGAAGGACAGGCCCCTGCACGGTATGTACCACCGGCAGATAGAGGAGGTGGCTGATATCCAGAAATCCTACCAGTGGCTGGACAAAGCTGGACTGAAAGACAGCACAGAGGCACTAATCATGGCAGCACAAGAACAAGCTCTGAGTACAAGATCCATAGAGGCTGGGGTCTATCACACCAGGCAAGACCCCAGGTGCAGGCTGTGTAAAGATGCCCCAGAGACAATCCAGCACATAACAGCAGGGTGCAAGATGCTAGCAGGTAAGGCATACATGGAACGCCATAACCAAGTGGCCGGCATAGTGTACAGGAACATCTGTGCCGAGTATAACCTAGAAGTCCCGAGGTCAAAATGGGAGATGCCCCCAAGGGTGGTGGAGAATGACCGAGCTAAGATCCTGTGGGACTTCCAGATACAGACGGACAAAATGGTGGTGGCTAACCAACCGGACATAGTGGTGGTAGACAAACAGAAGAAGACGGCCGTAGTGATCGATGTAGCGGTTCCGAATGACAGCAATATCAGGAAGAAGGAACACGAGAAGCTGGAGAAATACCAAGGGCTCAGAGAAGAGCTCGAGAGGATGTGGAGGGTGAAGGTAACGGTGGTCCCCGTGGTAATCGGAGCACTAGGTGCGGTGACTCCCAAGCTAGGCGAGTGGCTCCAGCAGATCCCGGGAATAACATCGGAGATCTCTGTCCAGAAGAGCGCAGTCCTGGGAACAGCTAAGATACTGCGCAGGACCCTCAAGCTCCCAGGCCTCTGGTAGAGGACCCGAGCTTGAAGGATAAACCGCCCGCAGGGGCGTGCTGGGTGTTTTTATATATATATATATATATATATATATATATATATATATATATATATATATATATATATATATATATATATATATACACACACACACACACACATACAGTTGTGGTCAAAAGTTTACATACACTTGTAAACAATGTAACATAATGGCTCTACAGAGTGTCCCATTATTTCTAAAACTCTGATTTTCCTCTGATAGAGTGATTGGAACAGATACTTCTTTGTCACAAAAAACATTCATGAAGTTTGGTTCTTTATTGACTCTATTATGGGTTAACAGAAAAAAGTGATCACATCTGCTGGGTCAAAAATATACATACAGCAACATGAATTAGCAATTTTGGTGACTTAGAAAGTTGTCAGTGAACTGAGCTTCATAGCATGGCCTCTTAACTTCTTGTGAGTGATTATGAGTGACGGCAGCTGGTGACTTCTCTTAGGCCAGTTAAATAGGGCTCATTGGATACAAACGCCCACAAATGCTACAATGGGAAAGTCAAAGGAGCTCAGCATGGATCTGAAAAAGTGAATTATTGACTTGAACAAGTCAGGAAAGTCACTTGGGGCCATTTCATAGCAGCTGCATGTCCCAAGAGCAACAGTGCAAACAATTGTTTGTAAGTATAAAGTGCATGGCACTGTTTCGTCACTGCCAAGATCAGGAAGAGAACGCAAGCTATCACCTGCTGCTGAGAGAAAATTGGTCAGGAGGGTAAAGAGTCAACCAAGAATCACCAAAAGGCAGATCTGCCAAGAATTAGAAGCTGCTGGAACACAGGTGTCATTGTCCACAGTTAAACGTGTTTTGCGTCTCCATGGACTGAGAGGCTGCCGTGCAAGAAGGAAGCCCTTGCTCCAAAAGCGGCACCTTAAGGCTCGACTGAAGTTTGCTGCTGATCACATGGACAAAGATAAGACCTTCTGGAGGAAAGTTCTGTGGTCAGACTAAACAAAAATCGAGCTTTTTGGCCACAATGCCCAGCGATATGTTTGGAGGAGAAAAGGTGAGGCCTTTGACCCCAAGAACACCATGCCTACAATCAAGCATGGTGGTGGGAGTATTATGCTGTGGGGCTGTTTTGCTGCCAATGGAACTGGTGCTTTACAGAGAGTAAATGGGACAATGAAGAAGGAGGATTACCTTCACATTCTTCAATATAGCCTAAAATCATCAGCATGAAGGTTGGGTCTTGGGTGCAGTTGGGTGTTCCAACAGGACAATGACCCCAAACACACATCAAAAGTGGTAAAGAAATGGCTAAATCAGGCTAGAATAAGGGTTTTAGAATGGCCTTCCCAAAGTCCTGACTTAAACCCCATTGAAAACACGTGGACAATGCTGAAGAAACAAGTCCATGTCAGAAAGCCATCAAATTTAACTGAACTGCACTAATTCTGTCAAGAGGAGTGGTCAAAGATTCCACCAGAAGCTTGTGGATGGCTACCAAAAGCGCCTAATTGAAGTGAAAATGGCTAAGGGACATGTAACCAAATATTAGCACTGCTGTATGTATATTTTTGAACCAGCAGATGTGATCACTTTTTTCTGTTAACCCATAATAAAGTCATTAAAGAACCAAACTTCATGAATGTTTTTTGTGACAAAGAAGTATCTGTTCCAATCACTCTGGCAGCCCCTAATATATATATATATGATGAGTCTGACTACAGGAGGGAGGTTGAACGTCTGGTGTCCTGGTGCAGCCACAACAACCTGGTGCTGAATGCCCAGAAGACAGTGGAGATTATTGTGGACTTCAGGAAGCACACAGCCCCACTCCCCCCCATCATCCTGACTGACACCCCCATCCCCTCCGTCATCAAGAAAGCCCAGCAGAGGATGTACTTCCTGAGGCAGCTGAAGAAATTCAACCTGCCAACACGGACGATGATGCAGTTCTACACTGCAATCATCGAGTCCATCCTCACCTCCTCCATCACCGTGTGGTACGCTGGAGCCACTATCAGGGACAAACAGAGACTGCAGCGTATTGTGCGCTCTGCTGAGAAGGTGATTGGCTGCAGACTCCCATCTCTGCAAGACCTGTACACCTCCAGGACACTGCGGCGTGCAGCTCGGATCTCAGCTGACCCTTCTCACCCTGGACACAGTCTGTTTGACCTGCTCCCCTCAGGCAGGAGGCTCCGGTCCATTCGCACCAGAACCTCTCGCCATAAGAACAGTTTCTTCCCCTCTGCTGTTGGACTCATGAACAATAACCATATGACTGTACCCGCCACTAACACATGACCCTACGCTGTGTCACTGCATCATTCCATGTTTGGCACTGATCACCACCTGCACTCATGTATATATCTTTCTACGCAGCACTTTTTATTCTTATTCTCATGTATATATCTCATGCACATATCTTTCTACATAGCACTTTTAATTCTTACTCTTATTTTTCTATGACAGTATGTTTGCACTGAAGCACCGCAGCAATTTCCTAATGTTGTAAACCTGCTCAACATTTGGCAATAAAACCCTTTCTGATTCTGAGATAGATAGATAGATAGATAGATAGATAGATAGATAGATAGATAGATAGATAGATAGATAGATAGATAGATAGATACACACACACACAGCTTCAAACGACGTGTGGGCTATTAAATTAGTCGTTGACGTAATCGAGACTAGTTGACTAATCGTGGCAGCCCTAAGATATATATATCAATATTTTTCAATACACGTGTCCATATTTATGTCTCCAGATTGTTTGTATAGTGAACCTTTAAGACTGTACTCTTGGAACAGTTTTTATTTTTGCTGCTTTTGTCTTACACTGTCAAATAAACACAGATTTGCAGCGTTTGTATGTGTGTGCAAAAGCAAATGTGCCAGGCCTCAAAGACAATGGGTGCTTTGCACAACAAAAGCAGGATGTGAATCGAGCATATGACCTGTACAAATCTCAGCAGGGGTGATTAACACCTCGGGACTTTCACCAGAAAATAAAAAAGTCAGAAATTCTAGTAGGTGTTGGGTCCAGGGGATTTCTGCAAATTTGCGCAGGGTTAGTAAATCAAGTGTTGAAGTTAGCTCGGTGCTTACCTTTAGATGAGCCCACAAACCGAGAGAAAGTCCGTGATGAAGCTGCAACTCTTTCTCTCAGCTACGATCCAGGAGACAAGGATGGGCGGATCGATGCAGATATTTATCCAGACGTTGGTAGTGGTTTTTGATCGGTACGTTAGTTTGTTTCTCTCCTGTAGATTCACTTCTTTACTCGCTGTGGATGAAAAAGCAGCTCTGTCTGGGTGAACACCTCTTCTTATGCGGCAGACGCACTTTGCTCCGCCCCCTTCTTCCTGCCCTGCTGGGATTTGTTACTGTGCCGTCACGTGACTCAGATGCGCTCAGAAGACGCATTTGGACTGCAGAGAGTGAGAAAGAGGAGCAACATGTGGAGATATTTTATGACTGTAATTGAAAATGCTGGAGAACAGATGGAAGGCGTGTCAAGCCACAGGGGACCACAACAAGCTGTAGAGTTCAGCTTATTTTACCTCAGTTAAATGCTTTGACTGAAGTCTCACTGCACACACTCAAACTTAGTGTTTGTGTACACCTTGGTCATTATAACCTGACACTGATCAGCGCTGCTCTGACGACCACACTCACATCCATGTAAGCATTTAACTGGGATGATCTGGAGTTACTGCACAATGCTGAACGTGTCCTTACAGTACAGGGAATAACTCTGTGTGTTCCTGTAGAGAAACTCTGGGTTTGTGTGCTGACGAGCATCACTAACAGTAAGATACAAAGACTCACTCATACCTTTCCACACATGTGACAAATTCAAAAAGATGCTGAAACCTTTAGAACATCATAAACTACACATTGTTGTACTCTTTTAGGATGGAACAGCTTTCAGATTTATTTACTCTTAAAAGGATAAAAGATCGTTTTAAGAATTTTGCATTCAAGAGGAGAATGTTTAAATAAGTCATGTAAATGAGAATGTCAAAGTTGGTGGCTGCAGTATATACAAATTGGTGTATCTCAAATATAAAATTATGAAGACACTCAAAATTAATTTGGAAACTGTTTTATGCAACTTTTTTACATTTACAATTTTCAGGGATGAACCTCTGAAATTTCTTTAACTAGAAATTTGTGTAAAAATACTTCTGTAAACATTTGGGATATAATGGTTGTATTGCTGTATAGCAACTTGAAATACTCCCAGAAATGGCACTACAACATGTAAAAATATAACGATAAGCTCAGGCAGACTTGGTTCTGTGGTACACTGAAAAAAATAATCAGTGGGATAAACATAAAAATATTATTGTAATCGGTTGCACGAAATTAAGTTATGTTTGGTTAACCTTAGTTTTTTATGTTATACCTGCACACATTTTTCTGGTAACACGAACATGACTTTTTTATGTTGTTGTTATGTTTTTCATTCCGGTCAAATATTTATAGAAACCACTTGTTTATCAGACATGAACTTTTTGTGTTAATTGTATTGGACTACTATGTGTTATAGTGACAAGATTATTTTATGGTAAGCTTATTTTATTTTATAACAAATTTCTAATATATAATATATAATCTAATATATAATTGAGTGTTCAATAAATAAAACTAAATTAAGGCTGATCTTACTGTATGTACTGTACACTTTCTCTTCAATCAAAGAAATAAGCAAAACATTTTTGAACAATGACCTGTATTTTTGAAAATACTACACAGTTGTAACAATGGACTTTCAATTCAGGCTTCCAAAATATACATGAGTCATATTTGTACAATGCATCTCTTGAAAAACATTCCACAACATTCCTCAAAGTTATCTGCTGTAACCTGAATTCAACATTGTGGGGCCTTATGACATCGCGCTTATGTAAAAAATTGTTTTTTAAATGTAAGAGCCATGAGGTAATATGGCAACAGGGGTGTAATTATTAAAATGACACAAAGAAGAGACTTAAAATAACATCATAACCCACAGGCACACAACCAAGAGACCTAAACTGATTAGTATTGGCTTGCTTCTATCACTAAACATCACAATCACTAATACTAGACAATGCAATCTGTTTGTAGTGGTGCACCTTGGGAATAAAATTGCAAACTGGTGAAATTGGTGCAAGGCACCATTTCCATTGAGAAAAATGGACATTCAAAGTTTGAATTTTTTTTAAAAGAGCCATGGCTTGAAAAGTGAAAACTGCAGTAATAAAGGCCCCAAGTTGAAAAGTGCCAGAAAAATAAGTTTCACTATGTACTGCAACTTTACCAGTGCTGGCTTAAAAGAAAGGATGGTACATATTCGAAGAGGTAAACATGTTGTTCCCACATCATAACTGGAAAACTGTTCAATCGTACAGTCTGGTCCTGAGAACCTGGGCCTTCTTTGAAAGGCTGTTCCTTTTGAGCTCCATAACCAGTTTCTATAATACCTCGAAGGTATACTTTTCCAGTGGGTAGGTGAGGTTCAAAGTGTACATTAGTCCAAACAGCATTGCAGCTGCTAGGGTATAGTTATCCAAATCCTGCCAGACTCTCTGGCCTTCAAGGACTATCCCGATGTCCTCAGGGCTGCCATTGGCATCTCTTGACTTTATGATGTAAATTCCCATGGTTGTTTCCTTATTAGATCGTTGGATAATGGCTTCATCTTTGGCCTAGAAAATGCAGAATTCCAAAATTTAATTAAACAGAACACTGGTCAAAGAACATTATACCAAATCTTATTTTAATCTGTGTCACTATTCCAAAAAATGTTAACATTAACACATTAGGTGAAAAAAAATGGATTCATTACAGCATGTGATTTGAGTCCTCAGAATGCTTAAAAAGGTAATGAAGTGAAATCTCCATGCAAAGAAGCAGAATACTGTCAGAGCATAGAGAGGTGTTCAACTATGAACTCCACACATAGTTCTAATGCAGGTAAAAGAAAAAAGAAAAAAGAAAAAAAAAAACGCACCCATGGTAAATTGTGAAAATCCCAGGTGATTTTCAACATACTCCTGGCATAGAGAGACAAGCAGCATTTTGTTAAAATTATTATTTTCCCTAAAGTGTATACACAAATTAATTTTTTTCTTACCTGGGCCGTGGGCTCCAGAATGTTCTGAAGTCTTCTTCCTATTTGTCCTCCTCGCCTTTTGAACACCTTTATTAGTTTGTCAGATAGCATATCTATCTGCGAGAGTAATCTGGACTGCAGTGGCATGGTGGTAATGCGCTTAAACTCTGTATCTAAAAAGAGAAGTTGTCACATAAAAAGGCTGTCAAAATCTCAAATCTCACAAGGCTACATCCACACAAAGTTGTTATTTTTTGTCATATTACTATTTATTAGCTATGGGTCCCATGTTGCTGAGCAGTTCCATAGTTGCCCTTACTTCCATACCACCCAAAGCCTGTTTGCAACCACAGCAGTTGCCTCCTTCTGGCCATTTTGCAGTTCTGCCAAATGACCCAGAAACTACATCTATTATTGTCATATACACATCAAGGTCTTTCATTAATACTTAGTTAAATTAGTTAATTTGACTTTTCCAGAAAATTGACCTTACAGATGCAAATCTTCACTAGTAAATAAAATAATGTTATTAAAACCTTAACTGTAACACCTCTACATAACAGCGCTAGAGAATTGTTCTGAAGCAACACCAATCTGCCCTTCAGCAGCGATAAGCACCATATATCGATACAGAAAAAATAAATTTAACATATTTATATTGTCATTATTTTTATCTCTTTAAGCCCTCCTCTCAGTCTCTCTATAAATCAGTTAAAACAATTTGTTGGGTTTTTGTGTGTCTTTAACATGTTATCAGTAGATTACATTCACTGCCCCAGAACATGAAATAAAGCCCCACGTCATGCACTTCCTCTCCTAATGAGTACTGCATAGGTGTCATGCCCTAAATAAACCGACTTTAGTGAAGACCCCCACCCCCTCTCCCGAACACACACACAGAGCCCACCCCATGGCAAACTAGCTTATTTAACTGTTAACTAAATGGACACAAGTTTGTTAGTCTGTATTCACTGAGAAAAAACAAGCGGATGTGACTGGGCACACACTGAAAAAAAGCTAATGCACATAATATTGTCCCGCAGCTTAAGCTAGCATTATCGTTAGTTAACTTAAGGAATGACTTGTTTTTTCCATTATGTTGCTCAACAGCAATTCATGAGAAAAACTTCCCCATCTAATGGATGTTCTCTTCGTTTCCTCTCAAACATGTAGTTTTCAGTTTACCTCGACAAAGTAAAGCTCCACCAATAAAGCACCAAACGTAAACGAAGCGAAGACAAAAAATGGCGGACCGCCACAGTGAATTTTCCCTCGTAGAACACACCCGGGGGGTGGAGTTTCAACAGAAAACATAACTATTTTCTGTTATTTTGATATGACTGGTTTTAAAAGACTGAACATCCTTCTAAAACAAGTGAAAGGCGTGAGACTTATGTTTAGACCAAAAATATAAATGATTCATGTTGGATATATTTACTGCATTTTTACTAATTTAACAACCTCATCATTACATTAGTTGCTTTATGCTATTAGCATTAGCTTGAAGCTCAAGGTCGTCATTTTATTTTATTTCTTTTTCTGGGCTTACAAACAGGACACACAACATTTAGATAACCGTTACACTGAATCTTGGGTCTGTGTTGAGTCTTCCAGCTGCTGACTACAGAAGCTAAATTGACCTTTCAGCATGTTTATAGCGGCTGTGGCTATGTGCTGATAATGTTACCGTGTGTGAGCAGTCACATTGGCAGCAGACATGTTTCAACAAACTAGTCATATCCCGCCCCTACATTAGCTTGTTTAATGGTTAAGACACTGCAGGTACCACCACTTACTACAGACACCGATGCAAGTTTGTAATAGTCTGTTAATTTAGACTGAAAGAATATACAAACAATATTAACTCACATTATATATGTTAATTACTAATTTGCTTATCGCATAATTTCGGTTACCATTAGGTAACTGGAGCCTAACATTGGCCTTTCATGGTTTTCGATAAACAGCCCACATACCTGTAAAATAACAACACCCAGTAAAAGTCCACATATATAAAGGGTCTACACTCTTTCTCACTGGTGTGTTAGCTTTAAAATCTTATTTACCTTCAAGTGTAAAACTCCAGATGGTAGTAGATTTTCCAAAGCGAGAGACAAAAATGGCGGACAGTGCAGCCGATTTTTCCTTTCCAGGGGGCGGAGCTTGAGGATAAAACACGACTAACTTGTTTCTTTTCAACATGATTTGTTCTAAAAGAATCAATATTCTTAAAGA